CCAGCCAAATCTCACAGAGTTTTGACTCCAGCCTCCCCAGCCTTTTGGGTTTTGAAATAAGATTTTTCTTTTCTTCACTTCTGCTCTGGGTCCCACGGAGTTGTTAGCAATTAATCAGTACAAAACTGGCCACCTGATCCATATAGCGCTCTGATACGTATGTATAATCTTTTCCCTTTTGCGAGCATCCTATACAAGTCAGCAGAGATTAAAAAAGAAGTGGGAACCAACCTAACATTTTAAATAAACTTTCTCTCTTTTTCTTTTTATATAGATACAGATATATTTAAAGCCCACTATATAAACACTGTACAATATGAAATAATTACAAATTAATTCTGTTAAGCTACATAATCCCCCACAAGGTATGACTTGATAATTAATCACACAATATGCATAGCTTGGGCCTCCTTGCTAACATGGCTTCTTCTGGGTCAGCTCCATTACCCCGGTTGCCCAGCCGTTCCGACTAAATGTCCGGTATTATTGTCTAATTATCTCTCGCTTACAACCCAGAGGAGTCTCAAGCAGCTAACAACCTTTATACCTCCAACTAACGTCACACCTTGCTGGGTCCTTGACGTACGGCCACAATTGTGCCCAAAATTCCACTGTTAAGTGAGGGTTTGTCAAGTGAGTTTTGCCCCATGGGCCCACAGTTGTTAAGTGAATCACTGCACTTGTTAAGCTAGTCACCCGGTTGCTAAGTGAATCCGGCTTCCCCATCGACTTTGCTTCCCAGAAGGTCGCAAAAGGGGATCATGTGATTCCTTGGGACTCGGCGACTGTCATAAATATGAGCCAGTTGCCCAGAGTCTGAATTTTGATCACGTGACCCCGGGGATGCTGCAGAGGTTGTAAGTGTGAAAAATGGTCATAAGTCCCTTTTTTCAGTGCCATTGTAACTTTGAACGGTCACTAAACAAACTGTTGTAAGTCGAGGACGACCTGTAATGATCTAGTTCACTGCGGATCTGACATCTGGACTCAAGAATCTGCCGGATACTAAATCAGAATTTCTCAAGCTTGGCAACATTAAGAGTTGGTGGACTTCAATTCCCAGAGTTCCCCAGCCAGCCTGGAGATGCAGCAACTGAGGTGTAGGTGTTCTACAGGTAAAACCGATCCTTTGTCCCTCTCTATCCAATCTTCTGCCATCTTCCCTGTCCAATCTTGTACCTTGACAATGAAGAAAGCTACAGGCCTCCGGCCCTCTCAATTCCTGGCAAATAGATGGGGAAGAAATGGGGGTAGTGACAGATTTTATCTTCCTGGGCTCCAAGATCACCACAGATGGGGATTGCAGCCAAGAAATTAAAAGACGCTTGCTCCTGGGGAGGAAAGCTATGGCAAATCTAGACAGCATACTAAAAAGCAGAGACATCACCCTGCCGACAAAAGTGCGTACAGTCAAGGCCATGCTTCTCCCAGTTGCAATGTATGGCTGTGAAAGTTGGACCATAAGAAAAGCTACCTGAACCCCTCCCTTCTGCCTGACGGTACGAGGTGCCCCAAATCTAGGCATATTTTTCACAATGCTTCTTTCAAGAGAGTTGAAGCCCTGTGTATACATACATCTGTTCCTCGAAGGACTCGTACAGGTAGTCCTCGATTTGCAACAGTTCATTTAGTGACCGTTTGAAGTTGCAACAGCACTGAAAAAAGTGTCTCACAACTGTTTTTCACTCCTATGATTGTTGCAGCGTCCCCCAAGGTCACGTGGTCAAAATTTAGACACTTGGCAACTGACTCATATTTACGACGGTTGCCCGGGGTCACCTGATCCCTTTTTAGCGACCTTCTGACAAGCAAAATTAATGGGGAAGCCAGATTCACTTAACAACCATGTTATTAACTAACTGCAGTGATTCATTTAACGACAAAGGTGGCAAAAAAGGTGGTAAAATGGAGCAAAATTCACTTAACTGTCTCACATAGCAACAGACCTTTGGGACTCAATTGTTGTCGTAAGTCGAGAACTGCCTGCACAAGCTACATGGATCCCACCTCCCTGCAGGGCATATGGAGAGCTTTCACTGACCCTCTTCAGAATGATCAGATGTCCATTAACGTAATTTCCGTTGTTCTCCCTTGGTTGACAAAGGCAAACCAATTTAGGCCAGGGGTAGCATACAAAATAAAAATAAAAATTGCATATGCCAAAAATTGAGAGACAGACATTGTCCTTGATGTGTCTCAGCAATGGAAACACTTTCGTTTATCTTGATTGTCAAAGGAGGAAAGCAGACTCTTCCTGTTATGCAAACTCTTGCATGCTTTTTATTATAATCTGAGGCCAGAATTTAAGAAGGGCGACAAAGCAACCTCAAACCTGCAAAGTCTCAGCGTGTTCTTTCACTTTAAAACAGGGGTCTCCAAACTTGGCAACTTTAAGACTTGTGGATTTCAACTTCCAGGATTCCCCAGCCAGCATGGCTAGATGAGGAATTCTGGGAGTAGAAATCCACAAGTCTTAAAGTTGCCAAGTTTGGAGATTCTAGCTTTAAAAGGATGCGCTGATTTCTTGGGACCAAAGGGGCTTATTCTAAGGAAAGAATAGAGAGAATAGGGCTGGGCGATGCTTTGAATTCAATGCCCCAAATTGCTTCAAAATACGTTGGGGTCTGAACCCAAGACTTTAAACAAGCATTAAAGCAGCCACTAAATAGGAAGCTACCGTGGAGCAACCTCTGCAGCAGATGTGCATGCTTGAAAAAAGATACAGTTGTATTAATGAGCCCCAGAGAGGCCTGTATTTGGGCTCCTGCTTACGCTGAAGCAACTTTTCAAATCTTGCATAGCCGTAAATCAAAACTGGACCTCAGTGCTCGCTCAAATTAAACCCAAAAGCTGTGAAAAACAATGAATCTGGGGGCAGTTTACAGCCTCACGCTCACCTAATTAAAAAAAAAATTAGGTGATCTACAAAATGCAAAAAAAAAAATAAAAATCCAAAAAGACATAAAAGAAAAACGCAAAAAAAAAAGCAACCAGAACATTAAAAATGGGTGGGTGTACTTTGTTACACTTTTTTTAACGTTCTGACTGCTTTGTGTTTTGTGTTTTTTTTCCCCCCGTTTTGTATTTTAGTTTGGTATTTTGTATTTTAACTTTATTCTGAATAAAATAAAAAAATATAAGTAAAAAAATAGGTGATCTTAGGAGAGAGGCATTGGCACTTGTTTTCATTCACTGCCAAATACTGATATATTTTTTAAAAACTACCATTATAATCCTATGTACATTTAGCGAGTGTAAGCCCAACGAAACTCAAATCAGGACTTACTTCCAAATAGGCACAACTACAAAATTAGGTACTTATGAAAGGTGTGTGAATATCAACTTCCTTTGGTGGGAAATTTTTAATTTTCAAGGCTGCTCAAGGATTTTAGGATGATTAAACCAGGAGGGAAAAAGTACACCGTTAGCATCTTTCTGGAAAGAAATGTGCACCTAAACCCATCATGCTCTATTGGTAATGGTTGGACATTTTTATCCTATTTGGTTATATCAGCTCAAAAATCAGAATTTTCTGGTTATTATTTTGCAAACATTTTTTTCTGGGCACACAGGCCATTTTACAGCAATTCTGTTTCTAGTTCTTCACAATTGGGGCGGGGGAAGGGTGGGAGGAGGAGAAGGAGATGAAGCCTTTTCTCCATGGCAATATTGAGAAAAATTAGCTATAGATCAGAATGCAAAATAACTCAGCAAATTAATTGTTGGCCAGGTTCTGCCGATGCCTTGGACATTTGAAACTCTTATGGTTAGAAACATTCATGGCTCACTATCCACACGGTCGCCTGGGTGGAAAAAATGATTAAAGTGGGGGAAAGAAATATTCTATCTTGCCACTAAGTAGAGTCAGAATATTCTTCTGGAAAACAGGAGATTTACGTTTTCTACAAGTAGAGTCAAAAGAGCTTGCAGTGCTGAATCACGTCCCCCAATGGCTGCTCATGTGGGATTTGTTCTCATGTTGAACTGAGATTGTTTGTCCTTTGTCCAGCTACTGCCTTCTCTTGCTGAGCTTATTTTTAGGCTTGTCCCAACTTAATCATTTAGGAAAGAAGGCCCTTCGACTCCCAACGGTAGCAAGGGCCAAGCTCTTCCTACTGGCCATAATATGGCTTGCAAAATAAACCGTGGCTCATAGAATCCTATGCCTTTAGGCTGTTTCCCGAGATGAGGTCCCGAGGATGTGTGGATTCAGGCTCTCGTAAGCTGCAGTTAGCACAGCCAATGGCTTTGCAGGCTGGGGATTATGGTTATGATCAGCAGGTTGGGGAAGTGTGAAATCTACCGTCATCCTGTTTTTCCCCTTTCCCTTGTAAAGTGCTAGTAATTTGTCCCAGTCAATTTGCTTTCTGGAGCTCAGTGGAAAGTGCTAGAAGCAATGGAGGATGATTTACATCCTTCTAACTTTGGGAACCACATTATCGGATTTTTCACGGAGGGAAAGTCTCTCTTCCCATCCCTTTCCGTGCTCTCTGGTGCATGGGTCTCTCTGGAAAGGGCATTTGCTTCCATTTATCCCCGTAGTCTCTCAGTGATGGCTCTCTAAAACTCTCAGGCCCAGGCTGAAATCGTGAGTGGGGAATGAATTTCATGGCTGCAAAGGGCCCCCTCCTGGTATGGTTTAGGCCGGGGGGGGGGGAGAGATTGCTCCATTTTTCCAGCATGTTGAAAAAAATCCAGATGCCATTTTCACCAGTGGGAAAACTCGGGAGAAAGCCGGTCTTCTCCCACCCCGTCCCACCCCAACCGTGCGTTTCGAAAAATAAGGATCCCCGATGCCCGTCCGCCCAGAAAGAGGCCACCTTAAAACATTGTCAACAACACAACATGGCACAAAAGCAAAGCTCCTGAAGACTGAGCTGCTCGGAGCAGCTATGATTTACCTGCCAGGATGCCCGTGTCGCCTAGGCCCGGTGGCAGGGGAAAAAACCCCGGAGGCCTCCCCCCTCCACTGCCCCAAAGGCAGCCCACCGCCCCCTTCTCTAATCGGACCACTCGTTCTCATCCAGCTCCGAGTCGTCGTCTGATTCGCTGTATTCCACAGCAATCCTTCGGGAGAGGATCGTGGCCACATCATTCCCCACCGGCTCTTTCTTGGCTTCCTGTTCCCACTGCTCTTGGACTTTGCGCAGCTGAATTCCTGGGGAGGGGAAAAGGAAGGTTTTTCTCCAGGCCGGCCTAAGGAAGCCGATGCTTGGCTGATCCAGCAGGCCCAAGCTGAGGTCTTGGACTGGCTTTGTCCCTTCTGCGTGATGCTTTCGGTCTAACGCAGGGGTCTCCAAGCGTGGCAACCATAAGACTTCTGGATCCAACTCTCTCAGCCTGAGTGCTGGCGCTGAAGATGGATCCGCTTACCAACCCCACCCAAGGATGCCGGGACCCTCCACAAGGCCAAGCGAAGGAGGATATTGTGGGCTCCTACTTCAGGAAGGGAGGGCATCTGATCTCCATCAGCAGCAACTTGCCACGGCCAACTCATTGTGGATCAAGTCGCCGTGGCCAAGTCGCCGCGAAACAACTCACCGCAGGAAAAGAATTACACTAATATCCAAGAAATGGTGAAACAGAATCATGAAGGAAAGGATGCCAAAGGAGAGACAAAATGAAATGTGAATGATAAAAATTAAAATAATGTTTTAATTATTTTAAATAGTTAAATTGAATTGTTAAATTGTCCTGTGGTGAGTTGTCTCACGGCAAGTTGGCAATAGCAATAAACTTATAAGACGCTTCACAGGGCTTTACAGCTCCTCTCTAAGTGGTTTACAGACTCAGCCTATGGTCCCCAACAATCCGGCTCCTCATGGAAGGATGGAAGGCTGAGTCAACCTTGAGCCCGTCAGGATCGAACTGCTGGCAGTGGGCAGTGAGTTTGCCTACAATTCTGCATTCTAACCACTGCGCCACCATGGCCATGATGAATTGACCATGGCAAGATGACCATGGTGAGCTGGGCATGGCAAGTTCTCCCACTCTGCCCCTTGGTTTGGGGGGCAGGATGATGTTCTCCTAATTTGGCTTCCTTTGCCAAGTGCCTCCAGGGTCACTAAAGTCCATCAGCTCCAACTCTGCAGGTACGTCCAAACCACGGGCAAAGCCGAGGCATTTACTCACCCCGGCGGATGGCAGCAAGCAGGTCACTCCTGGCATCGGTCATTGGAATCAGGGGCACCGGCGGCTTCCGGGTTTCCACCGTCAGGGCAGGCGGTGAGGCTGTGTGTGCAGGGGAGGCCGAGATGGTGGGGGGGCCAGGGGGTGGAGGGGGAGGTGCAACAGGAGGTCCCATGGGGCCAGCCTGGGGGGGAGAGGCAGAATAGGGGCAGGGCACAGCAGGGGGAGGGGTCGGCACGTAGGTGGCGTGGCTAATGGAAAGGGCCGCATTGGGCGCCATGGCAGAAGGTGCTGAGATGGGGCTGTCGAAGGCAGTTTGAGCAGAGGGGATGACTGGGGGCGGGGGCGGAGGAGCAGGCGGCACAAAGTAGTCTGCCATTGGCACTGGTTGAGGACTGCAAAGAGAGAGAGGGAAGTAGATTACCAGAGGGCAAGACAAGAAACGATGGGGGGAAGCTAATTAAGGAGAGAAGCAACCAAGAACTAAGGAGAAACTTCCTAACAATGAGGACAATGAACCAGTGGAACAACCTGCCTCCAGAAGTTGTGGGTGCTCCATCACTGGAGGTCTTTAAGAAGAGACTGGACAGCCGTTTGTCTAGAATGGTATACGGTCTCCTGCTTGGGCAGAGGGTTGGACTAGAAGACCTCCAGGATCCCTTCAACTCATTCTATGTTCTAAGTAAGCCATTGTCAGCTTTAATCCCATCAAAATAAAGGCATTTCATGGGAGGGAGGTGGCTGTCTGGTTTGCATGGTCCCCCAATGCAGAGGTCCCCAACCTTTTGGGCACCAGGGACCAGTTCCAGGTTTTTCCGCGGACCGGAGGGTGCGTGATTTTGAGTACTGCCTGCATCCTGCAGATGGGCCTTTGCTTGTTTGTGTGGCCCAGTTGCTGGCATGCTGCGGACCCGTGCCGGTCCACGGACCGGGGGTTGGGGACCCCTGTCCCAATGCATAAAATCCCTGAACCAGAAAACTAAGTGAGATGTCCCAGCAGGCTCCCTTTGCCCAACTTCCTTCGTCTTTTTCCTGTACAGCTGGGAAGGCCTGCGGGTGGGGGAGAGGGCTCAGAAGAATCAAGATTGCAGCCGCCACCCAGTGGTTAAAGCCCCCCACCCTCTCAGCTGCCCTTCTGCTCTTTTTGGCTTTTGCGAGGCAAAGTCCACGACGTTACGGGTCGTCCTCAACTTACGACCACAACAGGCCCCAAAGTTTCTGTTGCCAAGTGAGACATTTGTTAAGTGAATGTTGCCCCATTGAACAAACTTTCTTGTCAGTTGTTAAGGGAATCCCTGCAGTTGTTGAGTTAGGAACACAGTTGTTAAGTGAGTCAGGCTTCCCCATTGACTTTTCCTGTCAGAAGGTTGCAAAAGGGGGTCACGTGACCCCGGGATGCCACGACCGTCATAAATGGGAGTCAGTGGTCAAGCATCCGAATGTAAATCACATGACTCTGGGGATGCTGCAAGGGTCATAAATGTGAAAAAAGATCATAAGTCACTTTTTTCAGTGCTGTTGTAACTTTGAACGGTCACTAAGTGAACTGTTGTAAGTCGAGGACTATTTGTATGTGATCCCATGAATTACGCCATTAATGCAATATTTGCCCTCTTTGCAGAATGATATAATGATGCCACTTGCCCCTCCCTGAAGATACCAATGTTTCAGAGGCCACGTTGTTTAGAAAAGTTTGGGGGGGGGGGAAACCCATTTCAACTAGGATATGTATAAATAAAAATTATTGATAAATGTAAGAAAGTTATTTTAATTTAATTGATACAATAAGAATTGTATTGATTTAAATATGAGACAGTAAATACCAAGGGGAAAAGAGAGGAAATATTGAATGTAACAGTTTGAGATCTGTACTAAAGATATTTGTATGTTATTGAATTATTGACCAACCCAGCCGCCACATTGCTTTTCAAATATTTAAATGTAAAACTAGAAAATCAATAAAACGTTGTTTTAAAAAAGCCCATTTCAGATTAATAAACCATTATTTTTACCTGGGGAAGATTTGCACTTATAATTAGCCTTCTGGCTTATGTGGATGCTACTAAAACTCTCACGCCTGTAACCTCTGGCTGGGCGAATCAGGGCACCGTAGGGCAAAACCTTTCAACCGTGCTATCCCAAATGGGGTAACTTCCAGAACGTGTCAAAAATCAGGCCTCGTGACTCCCATGGATTTGAAATTTGGCAAATTTTATAAAACATTTTGTGACATAAAATGGTCACAAAGCACTTTATGACATAATATGCAACGTCGTAAAACATTTCCCGGGCTCAATTGCTGATGTTTGACTCTGCTGTACCGGTCGGCATGGGATACTTTGAAGGCAGGTGGACCCCCCCCCCCACAAACACCTCCCTAAATTTGTAAGAACTTTTCCAGTACAAACAGTCCTCGAATCACAACAGTTCCCTTGATGACCGTTCAAAGTCACAACAGCACTGAAAAAAGTGACTTATGACTATTTTCGCATTTCTGACCGTTGCAGCATCCCCAGGGCCACGTGGTTTACATTCGGATGCTTGGCCACTGACTCATATTTATGACGGTCGGAGCATCCCGGGGTCGGGTGATCCCATTTGCGGCCTTCTGACAGGCAAAATCAGTGGAGAAGCCAGATTCACTTAACAACTGTGTGACTGATTTAACAACTGAAGTGATTCACTTAACAAGTGCCGCACGAAAAGTTGTAAAACGGGGCGAATCTCACTTAGCGAATGTCTCGCATAGCAACATAAATTTTGGGCTCAATGGTGGTCGTAAATGAGGACTATCTGTACCTCAGAAGGTCTGCCATTGTTGAAGACCTGGAGGAATTTGGTAAGGAAATCTCTCTAAAAGGATGATTTAGCAGGTCACGGGTTGTCCAGTATAAAATAGCCTTAGCTGACTAGATTCCTTTCTGCCCTTCCAGCCTTGGATCGCCCAGTTCCTTGATATAATAATAATAATAATAATAATAATAATAATAATAATAATAATAATAATAATAATAATAATAATAATAATAATAATAATAATAATAATAATAATAATAATAATAATAATAATAATAAAAAAAGTTGGAAGGGACCTTGGAGGTCATCGAGTCCAACCCCCTGCTCAGGCAGGAAACCCTACACCATTTCAGACAAATGGCTGTCCAGTCTCTTCTTGAAAACTTCCAGTGTTGGAGCATTCACCGCTTCTGGAGGCAGGTTGTTCCACTGGTTAATTGTTCTAACTGTCAGGAAGTTTCTCCTTAGTTCTAGGTTGCTTCTCTCCTTGGTCAGTTTCCACCCGTTGCTTCTTGTCCTGCCTTCAGGCGCCTTGGAGAATAGCTTGACTCCCTCTTCTTTGGGGCAGCCCCTCAAATACTGGAACACTGCTATCATGTCACCCCTCGTCCTTCTCTTCGTTAAACTAGACAGACCCAATTTAGGGAGAAGCTTCTTAAGGGCAGAAGGTTCAAGCTTTCTAACTCTATTGACTGTCCTTTAAAGCTTTTTGTTTCATGCAACCAATGCATTTTAATTCCGCATAATCAATGAATGCAGATCTGTTCTAATATTTTCTCCTTTTGTCTCTAGGCAGGGAAAATAAAGGTCAAGGCTTTTTCTATGTTCATATGATCCAAGGACTGTTGCTTATCTTAAAATACACGGCTGTCTTTTGCTGCGTACAAGGTAATGACCTTAGACGATGTTCTAACCAAAAAAGGCCAGTCTTTTTTCTGGAAGAAGCCATTTCTCTGCAGGTGAAGATATCTCTTGGCTACCTTTAAATACGACGAAGAATGGACTGCTCAAAAGGTTTCCAAGAAAAGATTGGACAGCCATTTGTCCAGGATGGCATAGAATCTCCTGCCTTGGCCAGGAGGTTGAACTAGAAGACCTCCAAGATCCCTTCCAGCGCTAGGATTCTATGAAATATTCTCTGAAATCCACCATGCATATTTGTCTACTGCAGGGGTCCCCAGCCCCCAACCCCCGCCCACTATTGGGCCATGGCCTATTTGGAATTGAGTGGCTGGCAGGAGTGCGTGCGCACGTACACACAGCTCATCTTGCACGAGTGGCAGGCTGGCCTCCACGCATGCAAGTGCCCACATGTTGAGCTGCACGCACACAGTCCAATTTGGAATAGGAAACAGACTGGTAGTGGGCTGCAGCCCCGGGGTTGGGGACCCCTGGTCTACAGCATCAATTCAGGCTGCTCTCCGTGGTCCTGATATTTTTCCCCCAAATATTTACCATGGAATTGCTGTTTTACTTAGAACATAGAATATAGAACATAGAATAATACAGTTGGAAGGGACCTCAGAAGTCTTGTAGTCCAACTCCCTGCTTGAGCAGGAGACCCTACACTATTTCACACAAATGGCTGTCCAGTCTCTTTTAGAAAGCCTCCAGTGATGGAGCACCCACAACTTCTGAAGGCAAGCTATTCCATTGGTTGATTGCTCTCACCGTTAGGAAATTTCTCCTTAGTTTTAGGTTGCTTCTCAAATAAATATCAATTTATGTACATTTGGCCATGGCCAATGCTATGCATGTCATAAGTGTAGCATCAACACGGAAATACAAATGGACAGAAGCATTGGACTTTTCCCTTTTCATGCCTGTTCACCTTCAAGTCCTGATGACTATGTAGTGTATAGGGCAGGGGGAATAGCCTCAAGGACAAAAGGAAGAGTGTTTACAAAGACACTGCTCAGATAAGAGGGGCCTAAACCTGGTCCAAGAAGGTAACTTGAGAAAACATTTCAAACAAGCTGCTCCCTCACTTGCACAAAGAGATAGGGGAGAGGAAGAACATTCCGTTTTGCAAGATTTGGTTACTATAGCTGTACAGTGAAAGTGACTTACATTGTGGGCACTTGCATGCGTGGAGGCCAGCCTGCCACTCGTGCAAGATGAGCTGTGTGTACGTGCGCACGCACTCCTGCCACATTACTGATGCTTTTAAATTATTCAGCTACTTAATGGGAAGATTCCCCTTTAGGTCCTACATCCTTGTAATTGTGTCTTGTTTAGCAAGGGAAGCAACCTTCCATGCATTCTCTTACGTTCTCCTTCCCTTTTGGCCTGTGGATATCTTTCTATTGTAAAAAGAAAAGTTTTAATTGGGAAGAAACCAATAACTGAAATTCTGCCGAGCAAAAGAAATGGAATAATTAAGGGGTAATTAGGGAATCCGTTTATCGATACTGACATGACTGCACTGAAAATAAATCAATTAGAAGTGGAAGGACCAGGGAGAAGGCTGCCAGTTAAAGTTGTAGAATAATATAACATTAAATTATTTGCAGAATGGGAGACTTTTTTTAATCCCATCTAAAGGAATGCAGAAACGTAACGCATCACCAGCATTTACTAGACTGTCTAATACAGAAACAAGCTCCATGAGAAATTTGTAGATCGGTTTTATTAAAATATAAATCACTTCCTCAGCCGACCTAAGGAAATAATTCACATTTTAAAAAACTATTGTGTTCAAATGTCCTGAATCAATCTGCCAATGATACACACGTTTTGTGAAACAGTTCATTAAAAAAAAAAACCTTTAAGATGTAAAAATTCACATATTGGAGAAAATGGGCATAAAACATACAAAATTAAAGAGAATCATATTGTGTAATGAAAAGACTTTTAAAAAAATGCCTGTTTCAATTAAATAGATAACATGCGTCATGCTCAAACAAAAGCATACAAAAATCCCTAATAGGTTTCATGCCAGGGATTAAATTGATGTGGAAACTAAAGGGAACAAATTTACAATAAGAACAATGAGAAATAATGAAACGCAATCATTCTGCTTTGCCTTGGAACACAAAAATGCTGGTTGAACGATTCCCCATAGCAACGGCTTCTCAGCGGAGAAATCCCTGCCTTTGTAGCCGTGAAAATCTACATTCTTGTAAATTCACTCTGGGCCAAAATGTGTTGTTGCACTTCCTAAGATGAAGCCTTCATCCTGGAAGATAAATGGGTCCCTGTCTGGAGGCAGGGATCAGAGGAAGCTGGTGGAGAAAATTGCTCCCAAACTTCCGGTTTGCCATCGCGGCTGCTGCAGCCGCTGGAAGGCGAGCTCCGTCTTCCGCGTTCGGTTTCGCTCTGCTGGGGGACCCTAAAAAGGGTCGAGAGTCGCCCTGTAGGGGCGACAAGCAAGGAGGGTGGTAGCCCTTCCACTTGATCCGGGGCAGCCCTCCAAACCGGCGGACGAAAGACCGGCCATAGAAATATGGCTCGTCACTAGGCTGCAGACAGCCGAAGTCCAACTTACCACCAGGGACTTCTAAAGCAGCGCGGATGAGACTGGGTGAGATCTGAACCTCTCTTTAATCCCAGGTATTTTCTTTACCTGTAAAAGCTGTCCAAAGTATCTTCCCCCCTGTGAGAGGGAACGGAACTTCTATTCCCCCCTCTAAGAATAGTGGCGACTGACTATCCAGGGGAGTTAAAACACTGAAAGAATAACCTTAATCTAACTGGATTTATATGCTTCTAAAATTTGGGGACCAAAATATTTCTTATCTTTACTGAAGACTTTGGTTTTTATTTACAAAAAAGAAATAAAATTGGAAAAACGATTATTAAAATTTTGGACTTAGAAAAAACCTTAAACGGCATTGGTGACATTGTTATTGTCTAAAGGAGACTTGGCTTGAAGCCCAGATTACAGATAAGACTTTTTCAACCTTGACAAATACCAGCTGTGAGAAGCTCAGCTGTGTCCTATACTCAGTTATAAAATTATTTTCATTCTCTGACTTTAAAGCCGTCAACTTAACACACCATCAAGACATGGCTATTTCAACTAGCAGGACTGGCCTAAGGGGTAATTTTTAGTGGGGTTTTAAAAATAATTTTAAAATAACAAAGGCCAATCTAATATTTCATTTTAATTATGTTTTTAATGATAGTATTTTGGTATTTTTTGTATTTGTTTTTATTAGGCTGTTAGCCGCCCTGAGTCCGCAAGGAGAAGGGCGGGGTAAAAATTCAATAAATAAATAAATTCAATAAATAAATAAAATATGGATGAAGACCAGGAACAGATTCTTTTAATACTGAAAGTATTACATGAAACCATTCTTTTAGCTTGTGATGAAATAAGATGCTACAGAAAAGAACAAGATGTCAGCCTAGATACAACTAGAGACGTCACTGTTTGTGACCTTTGGTTGGGGACCATTGAAAAATCCTCAGGATTATGGACCAAACAGCAGTCCTGGCTTGCCCTAAGATACAAATCTCCCACTATACCAGTTGGCTGAAATAATGAGCACATACCAGGAGGGACCTTCCTATGCTCCTACACAACAGGTATGATTTAATTTCTCAGGACAGTCAAGAGTTATCTTCCATCAAAGGATATAACTCTAGGTCAGGGGTCTCCAAACCTGTCAACTTTAAGACTTGTGGATTTCAACTTCAACTCCCAGAATTTCCCAACTATGCTGGCTCCCAACTTGTGGGAGTTGAAGTCCACAAGTCTTAAAGTTGCCAAGTTTGGAGACCCCTGTTCTAGGTGGTATTTTCTAATGGTGATATCAGAACATTGAATCTGTATTTGGGGCCCACCCATACATACCTGGCAAAGAAAGGGGTTATAATCTGGTTTCTTGTAGTCAACCCCTATAATAAGTTACATCACATCTCTGTAGTTCTGGAAAGAGGCATTATTCAACCTGGGAGCATCAGAAAGCACCCAATTCTTCCTGCTTAAGGAGAAAGTCATGACAAACAGACAAAAGAAGTAGGCAAGAATCCATACCCATAGTCCTTGATTATCTGCGGTCTTGGTCCATTTAACATAGTCTCGGATGGCTGTGGCACATGGGGCTGCTGTACCCGGTTGAGGCTGTTCTGCCGGCTTCCCACTGCCGAGGGCCTGAAGATCTGATCCTGGATCTGGGTGGCCACCAGCACCACTTCTTTGTTCTCGGCGGCCAGATGTGAGGTTGGGGCCATCATCTGTTGGCCAGGATGGTTAGGACTGGCTGGGTAGGAATGATCAGCTACATCGGATGCATAAGATCTGTTGCAGACAAAAACACCAAGAGGTTGTACACCTGGAGGGCAGGGATGGGGGTATGAGCAGAGGAGCCAATTGATGGGAGGGATCTGATGGTATCTATCACCTCTTGGAACAAAGAGTTTGGGTTTGGAGGAGGAGGAGGAGGAGGAGGAGGAGATGGAAATGAAGGTAGAGATGAAGGAGGAGGAAGAAGAAAAGGAGAACAAGATGAAGGTAGAGGTGAAGGAGGAGGAGATGAAGGTAAAGATGAAGGAGGAGGAAGGAGAAAAGGAGAACAAGATGAAGGTAGAGGTGAAGGAGGAGGAGATGAAGGTAGAGGTGAAGGAGGAGGAAGGAGAAAAGGAGAACAAGATGAAGGTAGAGGGGAAGGAGGGGGAGGGGAAGGTAGAAGAGAAAGATGAATAGAGGGAGTATAGATAGAAAGAGAAGGAAAGAGGACAAGGCATGGAAGGGGAGGGGAAGGGGCAGGTGGGAAGCAGGCAGCAAAGGTGGTGCAAGCACAATTCCCTATGTTCCAATTGGTGTCATTCACTGCTCAGCTCAGCACCACCTCCATCCAGCCAACCCCTCGCCCCAACGCAGCCGTCCCTGAGCAGCAAATATTGGGATTCATTCTTTCTTTTTTTTAAAAAAAAAAAAGGCACTGATTTCCCTGAGTTCCCTGCAACTGCCCAAAGGACATGCTCTCCTCCCTGAAAGCACCCCCAAAGCCCTTGGAAGTCAAAGCAAAGGAAAAGCCAAAACAACCAAGCAAAGCAAGTCAAGGCAGCCAAAGCAACGGAAGGAGGCCAAGCAAGGTGTGTCATTCACAAAACCTGCCTATTATCTGGGGACAGTGATCCTTCCGATGAAGCCATGTGATATGGGGATGGTGAGAACCTGTTATCCGGCCGGAATTCTTTATCGTAAGCCATCATGTTCCACTCCAGCCGCCGGTTTCGCGCTTTCCGCACTTTCTTCACCTCCCGGGTGGAATCCTCAACCAGTCGCTGCTCCTGGAGAGAGTTGGGTAGGGAAGAAGGAAGACCCTTCAGCACAGCCCACTCTCCCCCCACCCCTTTGGAGATGGCTCCAAAGACCTGGGGCAACGTCCCCTCCGTCCCAAATTACAAAACAGCTTATTCTACATCTGGCCTTGGTGAAGGAACATGTGGGAATCCTCTCCATCCCAGCTCACCTCTGCTGTGATTCCCACCATGGCTGCAAAAGTTGATGGACTTAGCAGAGAGGGCTAAATTGACTGCTTTGACTAAAGAAAAGAATACAGTTATTTTTGCTTCTACTTGGAAACCACTTCTGGACTTTGTGCTTGAGGTGGGGGGAAAAAAGAAACTTTGATTTTGGGTTTTGCTGATTAGATAGCTGCTGATTAGAACAGCTTCAAAAGTTGATGGAGTTCGCAGAGAGGGCTAAACTGACTGCTTTGATTAAAGAGAAGAATACAATTAATTTTCCTTCTGCATGGAAACCACTTCTGGACTTTGTGCCTGAGGTGGGAAAAAAACCAAAACTTTGATTTTGGGTTTTGCTGATTAGATAGGTTTGTTGTTTATAGAAATGGCTAGTAAATGTGATCATATAAAAGTGAAAAGTTGAGGTTATAGGTCAGTGGTGGCGAACCTATGGCACGGGTGCCAGAGGCGGCACTCAGAGCCCTCTCTGTGGGCACGCGCACCGTCGCCCCAGTCCTAGGCCTTCAGCTGGGTTTTATAAAACGTTTTTGCTTTAGGCCTCCACCACCGTAGGTGCAAAAAAAAAAAAAAGTTCAATCAATCAGTCAATTTCAACTTCTCACGGGAAAAAAAAGATCTTGCAAAGTTGGAATTGATTGATTGAACTTTTTAGTCCCACCCAGTCTGCCGTTACCACTGCAGCCATGCCCACCCAATGGGCCATGCCCATCCAATGGGCCACACCCAGCCAATGGGCCACACCCACCGGCACCCGACAATGCATAAGTGGGTTTTGGGTTGCAGTTTGGGCACTCGGTCTCTAAAAGGTTTGCCATCACTGGGATAGAGTTATGAGCTTATTCTACTGAACCAAAGGAAGACGTAAGTCAACACTTGTCTTTTTTCCTTCTTCCTTTTCCTTCCCTATTTTCCTATCATTCCCGTCTTTCTTTGTATTTTTGCATTTTATATTTTGATAAACAAAAAAATTGCGCTACACCCCTGCTGAGTTACCTATAGAGCTGGACCATACAGCTGGATGGGAATGGGAAAGCAAAAGTGAAAGGACACACCTATTTTCTTTGTAAAAAAAAGATGAGATTCATACAATCATAAAGCTGGAAGGGACCTTAGAGGTTTTCTAGTCCAGCCCCCCTTATTCCATCCTGGACAGATGGATATCCAATCTCTTTTCGAAAACCTCCAGGGATGGAGCTCCCGCAACTCTGGGAGGGAAGCTGTTCCACTGATTAATTGTTCTCACGGTCAGGAATTTTCTCCTTGGTTCCACATAAACCTCTTCCTGTCTTCTATTATTTCTAGATGGAAATTTAGCTGCATCTACAGCCAGTCCCTGACTTACAGCCGTTCGTTTAGTGACTGTTCAAAGTTACAACGGCAACCTGAAAAAAGTGAGACTCGCAACCAGTGTGTATTTACAACAGTTGCAACCTCCTGGGATCATGTGACTGGCCATCTGCAATCTTCCCAGCTGGCCTCCGACCGCCAAAAATCAATGGGGGGAGCTGGATTCACTTAACAACTTTGTGAGTCACTTAACAACTGCAGTGATTTGCTTAAACATTGTGGCTGAAAAGGCTGTAAAATCAATCTGCAGAAATCCTCAGTCAGTGATGGCGAACCTTTTAGAGACCGAGTGCCCAAACCGCAACCCAAAACTCAATCGCAAAGTGCCAGGGCCGCATCAGCATTGTGGTGCCCTCGGGGGCAGGGAGGGGGCAGGGAGGCGCCTCTGAGTGCCGCCTCTGGCACGCAAAAACCAGGGGTGCAAAAATGGGCCACCATGCTGCAAGGCGCAAAATGGCCGCCACCACGCCGCGGGGTGCAAATACAAGGCGCTGCACCATGCAAGAACAGGGCAGGGCTAGTGAGCATCATGCAGGCACTAGCCCCGCCCCATTTGCAGCACGTGCGTGCTCGCAGCCCTGTGCGCGCATGCACGCAGGTAAAATGCTTCCCCGTCCCTTTTCTTCCAGTCCACCAATCAGCAATGGTTGGTGACCTCTGCTCTACCACCTGTACTCGAGCTTGCTAGACGGCCACTTCGCCTCCTTTGTGCTGGGCAGGGCTCCTGCTCCAGGCGGCGGTGGTGGCCTGATGGACCTGCTTCTGGCAGTAGTGGCACATGTGCTCTGACTGCCGCCTCTGGCACGCGTGCCATAGGTTCGCCACCACTGTCCTCAATCATCCAGGTCAGGGGTAGGCAACCTTGGCTCTTTTATGACTCGTGGACTTCAACTCCCAGAATTCCTGAGCCAGCCATGCTGAGGGGAAAGGGAGAGGTTTCCAAGCTGAGCCATGCTGGCTCAGGAATTCTGGGAGTTGAAGTCCACGAGTCATGAAAAGGGCCATAGTTCCCCATGCTGGCTCAGGAATTCTGGGAGTTGAAGTCCACAAGTCATGAAAGGGGCCATAGTTCCCCATGCTGGCTCAGGAATTCTGGGAGTTGAAGTCCACAAGTCATAAAAGAGCCAAGGTTGCCTACCCCTGATCCAGGTCATGGTGTCTCAAAAGTGCTTTTTCAAAAGGCACCTGGACTGTTTTTCTCCTTCATCGGTTCTGGCAGGATGAGGGAGGGGCTAGGGAGGGATTAGTTCGTCAGGGTTGTAAAATCAGGGCCAACTCACTTAACCCCCTGGTCCCAATTGTGGAGGTAAGTCAAGGGCTGCGTGGACCACCTGCCACGAACTCCAGGTTCTGCAGCTGTTTTTTTACCTTCTGCCTGCGTTTCTCTTTCCTCTTGTCTTCTGTGGCTTGCAACATCTTCTCTTTCCACAAGTTAAAGAAATAGGACGGGTCCGTGTAGAACTTTAAGCCATCTTTCTTATCATCCCTGAAACAGCAAGCGGGAGGGAAGGAGGGCAAGAAAGAGAGCAAGGAGAAAAGAAAGGGAGAGCTGTTTATGAAGGGCACAGCTGCAGCACGATCCACGGTTGGTTTCCTCCTTGCCCTGCAAAGCTCGGTCAAGTGAGGTGGGCAGGGAAACTTATGGAGCGGTTTTAGTTTCAGAAGAGCAGGAGAATTTTTGAAAAAGAAATGTGCTTCTGCAACGGAACATTTTAATGGTTCATATAGACTCAAGAGAGACCTCAATATTCCGACAGTTTGATGTTAAGTAATTCAACAGCTCCAAAAAAAAAGAAACTAAAGAAACCAGAGGAAATCAGGAGGAGGAGGAGAAGGAGGAGGAGGAAGGAGAGGAGAGGAGAGGAGAGGAGAGGAGAGGAGAGGAGAGGAGAGGAGAAGGAGTTGTTGTTGTTAAATCCTTTTCTGGGTTCTTCCCAACAAGATAATGAGGGAAAGGGAGGGGAGGGGAGGGAAGGGGAGGGGAAGAGAAGGAGGAAGGGAAGGGAGGGGAGGAGGAAGAGGAAGAGGAGGAAGAGGAGAATGGCGGAATCCTGCAAGAACATTGAGATGCAGCATCCTGCAAGTCCCCCTTTTATACAGTTACTGTATCCTACATTTTGTGCAGACTAAACACTCTCTTGGAATTTGGGGAAGAACTGAGAATTGCTCAGTTCAAAAAGAAGATGCAAGAGACCGTTTCAGCGCAAGAGGCTTCAAGCAATATTTCTCCAACCGCTTCCTTAGTTGTAAGCCGCCTAGAGTCGCCTGGAAGCTAGAGGGATGGCATATAAACTTAATAACGCAAATCAATCAATCAATCAATCCCCACCCTTGTCATAATCCAAATTATAAATTGATAACACACTTTTGAAGATTACTGTCGCCCTCCCCCAAACACTTTCCTAGACCTCCCACTTTGTGGATCTCCATTGTCGTAAAGACACGCTTCCTCTGGGCACCAAACTCCAGTCTATCCCTGGTCAAATTCCTTCCTTTAAGCCAGGGGTCTCCAACCTGGGCCACTTTAAGACTTGTGGACTTCAACTCCCAGAATTCCCCAGCCAGCATCGCTGGCTGGGGAATTCTTGGGAGTTGAAGTCCACAAGTCTTAAAGTGGCCCAGGTTGGAGACCCCTGCTCTAACCCTTACAATGGATGCAAACCCACCAGCTGTGCCCCACCCTACCTGTACGGAGTGAGGATATTTAAGGGCGGAGGCTTATCACAACGCTGGTACATCTCCATCACAGGATTGGGAATCGAATTGCGCGACACCACCTGCTGGTTCTGGATGGTCGAGCTCTTGAAAGCTTTCCGCATGTTGATATCCTGCAGGGAGACTGGAAGACACAAACCAGGCACTCTTTAGGATACGCTCGTGACCCTGTCTCATACACAAAACACACAGGCACACTCGTACACACGCACACACATGGCCCCCGGCAAAACCTGCTGGCACTTTTTCAAGAGGCAACTGGCCTTCGTTCTTCCTTGAGGACGTTGCACTACTCATCCAAGAAGCTTCTTCCGTTCGGACTGAATGGGGGAGAATGGAAGGATTTATATTCCTTGCAATCATCTGGTTGTTAGTTCTCTCTCTGAGAATCGCTGAGGCCACTTCCACATCCATTTGCACTATTCAGGTGTCTCTGAGGGCACAGATGAACCTCCAAGTGGCCTCAATGACCCTCAGAAAGAATGCTAACCACCAGATGACTCCAAGGAATACAAATTCTTCCCTTCTTCACCATTCAGTCCGAACTGAAGAAGCTTCTTAGATGGAAAGTGAAATGTCTTCAAGGAAAAACAAAGGAAGTCCAGTTGCTTCTTGAAAAAAACACCTTTGGGACACCCTGGATGATTGAGAATTTCCATAGACAACCTGCTGGACAGTTGATGCAAGATCATCATCATTCATCATCATCATTGGCATCCTTCAATCTCGAGAGACTATGGTATCGTGCTTTGGAAAGAGGACCTAAGGCAGCATCTGGTGTGGCTGAAAAGGCCAATTCGAGAATGGCAGTCCCTTCCACACTGAGGGCAGATGCAATCGGTCCCCTGTCCAGCCCCCAGATTTCGCTGGTTCCGGGACTGCCTCTTTTCCTCAGCCTGCCGCACAAGTGTCTCTTTGAATTGGAGAAGGCCATGCTGCGTCTTTAGCCTCCAGGCTGAACGATCAGAGGTCAAGGATTCCCAGCTGTTAATTCCCAAGGCCTTTAGGTCCCTCTTGCAGATATCCTTATATCGCAGCTCAGGTCTCCCTCTGGGGCGCTTTCCCTGCACTAGTCCTCCATACAGGAGATCTTTCGGAATCCAACCATCAGCCATTCTCACGACATGCCCAAGCATGATGCAAGATATTGACCCAATTATCAAATGATTTTATTAATAACTGGTTTTTAGCCAGCAGAGGGTGGGAAGCAGAAAGACTGTCATAAATAAAAAATATATTGGTATTATGTTGTGTGCTATGCAGAAAGTTAGGAAAAAAATAAATCTACAGCATTAAGACTAAATAACTCGCTAAAAGCTGGAATGTGGAGAGTGGGGTCTTCTCATACCTACCATCTATCAAAGCTGGCTGAATTTTGCACACAATCACAGAGAATGTGGCCATTCTGTGACTTACAGAGACATTTTGCCAGAAGGTAATAAGGAGGCACTGAACGGGATGTGGGAAATGATGATATTTGTCAACGAGTGGACGAAATATGAGAGAGAGAGAGAGAGAGAGAGAGAGAGAGAGAGAGAGAGAGAGAGAGAGAGAGAGAGAGAGGGAGGGAAAGAAAGAACGGGCTGAAGAACAGAAATCTATTCAGTCTGACCATCAGTACCTTCTTCCACTGTGGAGTCCAGCTGAGTGACCTTGATCACCAAAAGATCCACTCGTTCCTGCAGGGAATTCATCCGCAAATAAAAGCTGTTGGCTTCATTGAAGAGTTCACCAAAAATATCTTCAGCGTGTCTGCCTGAAAAGAGGGGTTAAAAGAGGAGCCCGTTTGAGGTCTGCAGAGACATGAGATGGCCTTCAAAAATGGTTTTGGGAAACTGGAAGGAGAAGCCATCATAAACCACCAGATGAGATGTTCTAGATTAGGGTTTCTCAACCTGGGGGACATTAAGATGTGTGGACTTCAACTCCCAGAATTCAAGTACTAAACCTCCAGGTGTTCTTGATTCCATCCCTCTATTAATGCAACCTGGGATTCCATTTCAAGTTGGTTGAAAGTTGCCTAGAGGTGCCTCTCGGCAGGATAGGTAGCATATAATTTATTAAGTTAGTTAAGATTAAAGTTAAAGTTAAAGTTAAAGCTAAATTAATTAAGATTTGTGGATCTGAAGGGGACATGGAGGCTCTCAAGCCCAAATCTCTCTGAGCCACATCGTAATTCGGCCCCGTTTGATCAGCCGCCGTGAAGGAGGACGGGCGAAACCTGCCCACTTACTGAGGCTTCCCAACTGTTTAATGATGGCAGCCAAAGTGCTGTTGGTCACGCACTCCAGCTCGCTGGTCACCCCATCAGGAAGGGCCCCCCGGCAGAGATGGCGGGGCTCGATATTGCGCTTCACCAACGGCATCTTGGCGAGGAGTCAGTGGACCAAGCCTGCGATAAAGAGAAGAGAGAAAGTTTCATTTTCTTTCGGAATGTGATTCCCAAGCGGCCTTCAGTAGGCACTGAACTTTGCAGAAGTTGTGAGCTCCTTGGTGCTCTCTGAGCTTGGTGGTTTTCTTGCAGACATTTCATTACCCAATTAGGTAACGTCATCAGTATTAGAAGGGAGGGGGGTTTGTAGAGAAGAGGAGGAGGAGGAGGAAGAGGAAGAGGAAGAGGAGGACTGTGGCATCCTTGGTGCTCTCTGAAGCTGGTTGTTTTCTTGCAGACATTTCATTACCCAGTTAGGTAACATCATCAATTCTGGAAGGGAGGAGGAGGAGGAGGAGGAGGAGGAGGAGGAGGAGGAGGAGGAGGAGGAGGATTATTATTTTGTGGTCCCTGGTGCTCTTTGAGCTTGGTTGTTTTTTTGCAGACATTTCATTACCCAATTAGGAAACATCATCAGTGCTAGAAGGGAGTGGGGTTTGCAAATTGGAGGAGGAGAAGAAGAGGGGAAGGGAGAGAAGGAGGAGAAAAACTGTGGAGTCCTTGTTTGGTTTTTTTCTTCCAAACATTTCATTACCCAACTTGATGACATCATCAATTTAATAAGTAAGGAGAAAAAGAAAATACCCAAACTTAACATGGGAATATGGAGATATTCACTTAAGCTTGGTTACCTTTGGGTACCGAGAGGGGTTTTCATGAGTTTGCAAAGAGAATAAACAATGTTTTCATTCTATTCTGACAGCTCAGAGCCATTTCTTGAAGACTGTCCCCAACCCGGGATCCAGCATGTTACTTTAGCCTGATTACTGAATTAGTCCATTTGCTGGGTTGGTGCAATAGACTGAACCAGGAACAAACCAACTGAGTTGAGTACACACAACTGAAACTCTTGCATACTTTACACATCCTGTTCAAAACAAACCAAGGTCTGAATGTTGGCTATTGCAGATTTGTAACTAGCTCTCATGAAACTTTGCCAGGTAGACTGTGTTGGGAGATGGAGACTGACCCCAAAACCCATGTTCTGGATCATGTAGGTTTGTATGCTAGAATGTTGGCATTTATTGGGTTAAGTGCTGTCTCCTTAAGATATGGCTTATGGGTAATGTAGTTTAGCTAGTCAGCTATCCCATATTAATAGGTCAGTAGTAGGAGGAAAGGAGGAGCCACTAAAGTTCATCACAGGATATCCTGGCCATGGGCCAGTTTGGAATGTTCTTTGTCTGATATAAGCATGGGGCCATCGGATGACTCAGATGGGCCCACTCCACGTAAGAAGTTGATGTGGAGAAACTAATGAATTTACCTAATGTAGATGGAATCTACAAATAGCAAGTATTGCTTTCTGACTGAATAAATATCTGTTTTGGAATCATCTTTATTTGAGTTTATCTGTCTGTGATTGGATTATAAAGGCATTTTGATTCATGTCACAGAACAGTATCTAACCCAGTGTTTCTCACCCTTAGAACTTTAAGATGGAAGGACTTCAACTGGCTGGGGAATTCTGGGAGTTGAAGTCCTCCCATCTTAAAGTTGCTGAGGTTGGAAAGCATTGGCCTAATCTTTTCACCATTTTACATTGTCAGCCTTCTTTTATGATGCAGAGGAACCTGAAAGCAGGGATTGTGCCCTCTGGCTCAAAAGCATCTCCGAGGAGAAAGCCTGAGAGACAAATACACTTCAAAAAGGAACTTTTCTCTCTCTGTTGCTTGATCAGCTCCCAAACTTTTTCTCAGCGTGCTGTAAAGAGAATATTGCCCATCCTTCAAGAAAGCCTGGCCGCTTTAAGTGAGGAGCAGCATATAAACCAGGCACCCACGTGACCCATCGTCCTTGACTATGGGCACAAGCTGTTGGAGCAATCTTAATGACCTCCCAGTAAGGGAGCTGAAGCATCAAGACGTGTCCAGTTTCCTGACAGCTCTCAAAGATGCTGGAGAATTGAGTATCAAGAGAGAATTGCAGGTAGCTATTGACTTACAGCGACAATTTCTGTTGCTAAACAAGACGTTTGTTAGGGGAATCGCGCCTGATTTTAATCACCTTTTTGCCATGACGGTTAAGAGAATCACTGCAGTTAAGTAAATCACTGGAATTTGCTGGAATTGGGTAGGTCTAGTTTAATGAAGAAAAGGACGAGGGGAGACATGATAGCAGTGTTCCAGTATCTCAGGAGTTGCCCCAAAGAAGAGGGAGTCAAGCTATTCTCCAAAGCGCCTGAAGGCAGGACAAGAAGCAACGGGTGGAAGCTAACCAAAGAGAGAAGCAACCTAGAACTAAGGAGAAATTTCCTGACAGTTAGAACAATTAACCCGTGGAACAACCTGCCTCCAGAAGCGGTGAATGCTCCAACACTGGAAGTTTTTAAGAAGAGACTGGACAGCCATTTGTCCGAAATGGTATAGGGCAGTGATGGCGAACCTTTTAGACACCGAGTGCCCAAAAACTGCCCCACCTCCACACTGCCCCAACCCCTGCTCCACCCCGCCCCACCCCCACCCACCCGCAGGGCCACCCACCACCTCCATGGCCCACTGCAGTTCGCCCAGGCAGCCCAGCAGCGTCATGGCAGCCACGCCCTCCACCCGTGCCCTGCAGCATCATCTGTTTGCGACAGGGCGCAAGGGCGGAGTCTTGTCCCCACTGCCCGGTTGCCATGTCCTTGGCTGCGCTGCTCCAGGTGGGCCATGCCTGGGGGCGACTCTCCTCTGGGGGGGCTGCTGGTGTGGAGGGGGCCGTGGGGGGAAGCGGGGCTGGGGCGATGGCATGTGTGCCCACAGAGAGGGCTCCGAGTGCCGCCTCTGGCACTCGTGCCATAGGTTCGCCACCACTGGTATAGGGTTTCCTGCCTGAGCAGGGGGTTGGACTAGATGACCTCAAAAGTCCCTTCCAACTTTATTATTATTATTATTATTATTATTATTATTATTATTATTATTATTATTATTATTATTATTATTATTATTACATGGTTGTTCAGGGAATCCAGCTTCCCCCACTGACTTTATTTGTCAGAAGCCATCTGCAAAATCACAAAAGGCAATCCCATGATCCCCAGATTCTGCAACCGTCGTAAGCATGATCATGATCATATCATGATCATATGACCAAAGGGATGCTACAATGGTCGTAAGTGTGAAACACGGTCATAAGTTACTTTTTTCAGTGCCGTGGTAACTTTGAACAGTCACTAAATCAACGGTCATAAGTTGAGTACTCCTCTGTACATGGAAAGAAGGGAGCCACCATATAACTAGAGAGAAAGAGAGAATAAAACATAAATGCATTTTTATCTTCTGAAAAGAAGACCAGAAGCTGCCTCCTTATCTTTTTTCTTTTTTTTCTTTTCTTTGTTGCTTCTTACTTATTCACTTATCTCTTCCCTTCACTTCTTCCCTTTAAATTTCTATTGTTTTTACTCTTCTAAAGCAACTCTTCAATTAACATTTATTGAAAAATAAATGAGACCATGGATCAAACTCAGACCTGTAAACTGGAAAGATGGGCATTCCTCATCTTCCCACCCTTCCCCCAGCCAGCAATCCTCAGGGATTAGTTTTTGAATTTAATTCATTTAAATTTTAAAATGTAAATGCACGTTCCTTTTTTAAAATTATTTTTTTCTAGCCTCGGCTGCAGAAAGAGCTGAAAACTCTGCCCAGTCTGTCTATGGAGTGATACTTGGCTGTTAAACAAATAGAGCCTCCCACACAGACTCAATACATTTATTTTATGGTTCCAGTCAGTGGACAGGAATTGGAGAGGAAGCCTGCGTGCTCAACAGCACCATTTTGCCTTCAGTGCTTTGTGGGTACTATGGACTCTGAGTTTGGCAAAAACGGGCCCTGGGGATTGGGATGAAAGCTGCCGCCTCTGTGTTGCCATTCTGTTAAATTCTGGCAACTGTGAATCCCTAGAGATTTGGAGAAGAACCTTTCCACCAGATTGCAAGAACATGAATGGTCAGGCAAGGAGATCCAAACTTATGGGTAGCCTCACATTGCAATGAACAAGGACATACATTCAATTTTGCTGCTACTAAGATTGTTGGACGAGCAGGTATAAAAACAGCCAGGGAAATGATCGAAGTCTGGGAAATGGGCCCCTTGTCAGTTAACATGAGTGCTGATTTACCACCAGCTTATCAAGTCCTTAGGCGGGGAGGGCTTGGCAGCACTAGGAAACAACAGCCAATGACTTAATAGCCAGCCATCAACACCCCAATCAACAACAAAAAAGCCACACAATGGGCAGTATATAAATACCACATATCGAACAGCCCAAAGCACATATTCTGGAAAGAGAGAAAGTTCCCTGGGAATGGGCTCCAGCACAAGTCTGAAAGCTCAGAAGACTAAACGTCTGGTCCTGGGGACTGACCCAGATTGGATCCTGCAATATTACCTGGGATAGGTATGTTTGCCTTCATTCGGAAGAACCTTTCCAGCCTCAGCTATGAGTTCTGGGGTTACATACAGGTAGTCTTTGACTTATGACCATACCTAAGCCCCAAATTTCCATTGCTCTAAGCAAGACAGTTGTTAAATGAGTTTTTTGCCCCCATTTTATGACTTTGCTTGCTCCGTTGTTAGGTGAATCACTGCCGTTAAGTTAGTAATGCGGTTGTTAAATAAATCTGGCTTCCCCATTGGTCTTGCTTGTCAGAAAGTTGCAAAAAGTGATTACATAACCCTGGGACATTGCAGCCATCATAAATACAGGCCAGTCACCGAGCATCTGAATCACATCGTCCTGGGGATGCTGCAACGGTCGTAAGTGCAAAAAACAGTCATAAGTCACTTTTTTCAGTGCCGTCGTAACTTTGAACAGCCACTAAATGAATGGTTGTAAGTCAAGGGTTACCGATATCCATTGCTGGTCAAAGAGTGAAACTGGTGGAGGAGAAAAGAATCCAAAATCTTCTGGCTTCTGTTTTTCTATCTTATTCTCAGGCTGCTTAAGGCAGGGATA